GGGGGGGGGGTTGCATTGATGAAAAGGCTTATTGATTGTTCAGACTGAAGATTATTAATCTCGACAATCAGATAAAAATATAAACAAAGTTTTCTGGTTTGTTTCACTTTGTAAAGAAATATTTGGCTTAACCGAGAATATAATCTAACATTAATTCGTTCCAGAAACTAAAACTTTGATCTTGAACTTCTTTACCCAGTAGAATCATTAAAAAGACTTGATTTTGTCTTTTCACATTTCTAAGGCGAAGCTCCCCACCCGTCTCCCCCTCCCCCATAAAAAAACGTACAAAAGATAACCAAACCTCTCTCCATCAATAAAAATAGATGAGTACTTTTTCCACAAATTCAAATGAAATAAACAAGCTTTAAATACCAATAACTACATAATATCATGCTAGAAACGAACAAGAGTCTGATCCCACCGGGTCATGATGTAATTTATAGTACAAATGTGAGGCATCGTGATGAAATCAGGGCCTCGTCAAAATAATAGAATGAAAGATACGGGAATTTTCCCCCAGTTTGGCAATTTTTATTCAATTTCTGTTTTTTGGCTTCACACCTATCTTGTCCATTTACAATCATACAAGGTTGATTAAAGGCTCAAAGAATGTTAATTTCCAGTTTCCAAGTACTACCAAACTATGGAATTCCCCAAACTACGGTGGCTATTTTCTCGCTAATTTTACTTCTGAAACCGGTAGACGCTCCACCTCCTTCGATTGCAAATATCTCGACGTCTATTCAAGTTACATTTTTTTTACAGTTGCCAAAGATTCTCAAGCACAGGAAGATACCAGGCTTTGGTGGCCATTTTCTCGCTACTTTACCTCTGAAATCAGGCCGCCCCACTTCCTTTAATCGCAAATATCTCGACTTCCATTCAAGAAACATGGGTATTTTTTTCCTTCAAAAACAACAATAACTCAGCATTCTGAAAAACTGACGACCGCCTGATTCCACCGCGTGTGACACAAATCACTTTGACGAGAGCGTAAAGACAGGTCAAACAATAGATTCAAAGTCACTTACGTTTTCCACTCGCTGGGGGTGACGTCATCAGAGTTAGCGCCAAAATGAAAGCAGCTGTGAACAGATGGGATATAAATAATAATACATTTGCTTTAGTTTAGTTAATGGTGAGTTTAACGGCACTCGCAATACAATACGCTTTTTAAGAATAAATATAAGTTCCGAAGGTTAGAGTTGTTACAAGAGAGCAAGAAACACAAAACGGAGGAGGGGAGATAAGAATGATAGTTGTTTGATAGGAAAGAAGGAGCAAAGCACACCAGTACACACGCCAGCCTCTCGCTATTTTTACTTTAACTCTGAGAAGTAATCAAGCGTCTTTCCTAAAGGCCGCTACACATAATATACTTTCCAACCGGCCGTAACCTAGGGGTTTTGACCGGAATGTGAAACGGCGTTCAAACCGCCGCACAAAACCCCAGTTCGACGGGTCGGTGCGTCATCCACATCACATGCAGTTTAACGTGTGTAGCTGCCTTAAAACAAGGGGAATAGTTCATTGAGATTGGTCAAATAATGAAAGTTACTGAGACCACTTACACCAACGACGACAACAACAACAACAACAACAACTACGAAAACAGCAGCAACAACAATAACAGCAGCAGCAATAACAACAACAACAGCAACAACAACCACAACAACAACAACAACAATAACAACAAAAACAACACCGAAAGCGACACTAAATAAATAGACACTATTCGTGTTTTACAAAGAAATAATTGTACTGTGTGGTAAATTCATACACGCAAGCTCTCTCACAAACAAACAAACAAACAAACAAACACACACACACACACACACACACACACACACACACACACAGGCACACACATTCTCACATACATAAACTGGTGGAGCGAAAGAGTGAACGCCCCACGGGGGATTAAGTCGTACTCTTCAGTTTTGCGGTGTGCAAAGTGAACGCTGAAGCGAATGAGTACATGCGGAACGTGGAAAAAAGGGTGGGCACAAATTAAATCGGAAAAGGACACATGTCTGTTAATTGGAGGTCCAAAATGCGTGGGTCTTTTTTCACAAAAATTAAATGATTTTACGGTGATGAGTTTCATTTTTAGCTCCAATTAATTTCATCTGACATGTACCGAATATAGATCAAAACATAGACATAAAGACGTGTTTATCTCGTGACTCGAGTTTGACAGTTTGCTACCTCAGAATTACAACGTTCTATCTGCTTACATCCTAGTTTTGAGAAGTTTGACTTTTAAAATTTTGAGTTTCACAGGATGTCAAGCTTTTTCAACTGCAATTCTCTGAATATCTTGATATTGACCCCGAAAACTTTACGATTTTGACCCCGAAAATTGTACGATTTTGACGGCGCAGATACAGCATTCGATTTCTTATCCCTTGGTCTTAGTAATTCAAATCGGCCACAAATGGGAGATAGAACAATTCACTTCTAGGGTAGCCAGTTGTCAAATCGATAGTACCGCGGATACCGGGACCTGTGGTGTCGTGATTAGGCGTTTCATCGTCGCACACAGAGCCCCTGAGTTCGATTCCCATATTTTTTCAGTTCAGTTGCCACGCAAATGCAAATGATGCTATCTTCATTCCAAATTATCTGCTTCTGCTTTCTTATTCTAACTCTACCCAATAACGTATTCTGATACCTTCTATTCTTCGTTTCTTTTTTTTTCTTTCTTTGCAGCCTCTACTTTAACTGAACTAGCAAATGTGTGGCGCTGGGTAGGTTCTTCGTTAAATTACAACAGGAGTTCAATTCCAACATGCTCAGGATTTACTATCGAGTACCACGATGTCCCTGTACCTGGATGTGCCTTTTCAACGAAACATTTCACTGGTTGACAATTATGGAGTCACAAAATACAACTTTCCATTTTTCTGGTGGAGACAAAACTGTGTCGACACCGGATGACTGCTTTTGGGATATAAGCAGGGGGCAGTTTCAGTTCACAACCAAAGAAGGTCATTGACGCTCCACAAGTCCCAGACAAGCCAAGACAAGACAAGCCAAGACAAGCCAAGCCAAGACAAGACAAGCCAAGACAAGCCACGATGAACGCCGCTGTAATCCTCGCACTTCTCTTCACCCTGACTGCCACACAAGCGTGCTGCGGTGAGTAGGTTTTTGGTAAACTAGAACTTTGACATGCAGTAAGTTCCTTTATTCGCTACCTTAGTAATCTGCTCAGTACCTAGTTTTGAGAAATATGACGTACACAAGAAATGTAAAGGTTTTCGAACGCAGTTCTTTGAATATCCTGATAACTTCTCCGGATAATTTTACGATTTTTGACTGAGCAGAAAGAACATTTTTGTAACTGATATAGTGGCTTTAGTAGCTCCAAACGTCCAACAATGTCCAATAGCACTTAAAGGTTGTGTGCCAATATATGATCACAGCTGTTCAGAACAAGGTAGCTGGTAGCCTACCAAATTTCTAGCTTGTGGACTCGTAACTTCATATGCTTGACTGGTGGTTTATTGTTGTGTCGTTGAATGGGAAGTCTGACAACACTAATCAACAGTTGAACAGAAATACAGTCATGAGTCAACAAGAGTTTAACATTGATACCCTCACGATTTTCATTTTGAGACTTGTCTTTGTTCCTTGTGGTCTTCATTTTTTTCTATTGCTTTCATTTGTTCCTCCCCAGCAAACCAGGATAGGTGCGATACAATCAGGGTGGAAAGTTGGAGCTACAAATACGCCGAGAAGGTTGTGGAAGATGCCTCATACGTCCTCAACATGACAGTGGTAGATCAGCAATCTGCAGCTGCATGTACCTTTCGAAAATCCTTCGGCTACGAAAAAGCCACTCTTTGGGTTGATCACGGCTGTCGTGCCGACTTCAAAGTTTGCTATCTCCCAGGTAAGTTTAGGTTATTAAGTACCGAAGATTAGGTGCTACAAGAGAATGAACTTCCAAAATTGAAGATAAAAGACGCTTGTTTGGTAGGAATGAGGCAAACCATACTAGTGCACCTGTGAACCACCTCTGTTCACCTTCATCTCCCAAAGGACGCCGATTCATAAAGATAATCGTAATGACGTGCTTAAACTTTTGTTCTGTCAGTCTTTTTTTCCAGCGACGTTTCCTTTTTTTGCTTATGAAAAGCATATTTGTCTGAGTTGTATCCTTGCAGTTGCAGCTCGGATTCAGTACACGTAAGTATGAAAATGTGTTCCGTTTAAGCGAACGATTTAGTTTTAAGGAAGTCAGAAACCGTATCTATTGTCTTGTATTAACGCTGCAGATTGTACCGTACCTTTTCATGAATTATCAGAAAATGTAATTTTTTCCCCATGTCTTGCCTCACAACTCTTCCTTATTTCTGGCTCCTAAAAACCAAAACGAGTCTATAGTGCCGTAAAACCCCTACTCAAAATCTGGCTCCCCAGTGATGCCAACCGAGTGCCAAACACTGAGGGTGGAGAGTTGGAGCTACAAGTACGCCGAGAAGAAAGTGGAGGGGGCCTCGTTGTTCATCAACATGACCGTTGAAGATCGACAGTCCGCGGCCAGTTGCGACCTGGATAAATCCTTCGGCTTCTACAATGAGAACTCCACGGTGTGGGTGGATCATGGCTGCCGTGCTGACTTCAACATCTGTTACGTCAAAGGTAGGAGACGATAGTTGAGCAGGCATCTTCATCTTAGTCGATAGTGCCGTAAAAACACAAAATAAACGGATACGTGGCAACTTGCAATTACTTAAATGACATTTGGATAAATTTCTACCAACTGGGTATTCAGCAATTTAGATTTCGAAAATATCTTCTATAGTCGGGACAACGCCCGATTCCCAGAGACAAAACCTATGGATTTTGTAGGTCTCTTAGAATTCAGAGCCACATGCAAAAAAGTTGGAGAGATTCGCGTCTTAGATTCAGTGTAGTGGCCTCAAGTTGGGCAATTTGTTGTCCGGACTGTAATAGAGCTGTTATGTTGGGGAGAATATTTAAGCCCGAACTGAGAAATCGGTTCCGAAGTTTCAACATACTTGCATATTTTCACAATTGTCTTCGATTACTCACAGCCAGTGTTGGGCTTATTAAACCGTACAACTTCACCTATAATAAATGTTTAAGCTCGCATTGTAAAAGTTTAAAAACGGAAGTTTTCGGTGCAGGGGTATATAATATATAGGCATTTCTTTAGGGGAGGGGGGCGTACATATTGTATTGCTCAGAAAGGGGTAAACTGAGGTTCAAACCATGCATGCTGATGCACAAACGATTTATATAGATGTCCATTGTAGAATATATTTTTGTAATACCTGTATTCTTTCTCTTTACTTCGACTGGATCCAGGGCTCTACCTTTTATACAAGCAACATGATTTTCCAAAACATCTGGCGGGCTGGTGGCACTATAGATGGGTCCACCTTACGTTTCCACCGGTTTCTGTCGTACACTTTCCCTGTACTCTCACCATTGTGTCGATGTTTCTCTTTACTCCAACGAAACTGTCCTCCCTATCCACAACAAAATGTGAGGGATGCTGACAAAGGTAGTTTTAACCATACACCAATGGTGTTATCGGCGGTAAATCGACACGGGTCAAATGTGAAGTTCAACTGGTGCCATTTTCAAGTTTAAAACGCGTCTATTAACATTTCATACCAATAAAATGTATAAACCTAGCTTATACATTGACATATCTGTCTTCTGGGATGAAATCTGAGAAGTAACTTTCGTTAAAACTTCTCAAATGTTCGCTTTCAAGAACAAGCGGGCTAATCCAGATCGCGGTGTTTTCCAGAAATCTTAACCTGCACCAAAAGCATAGTTTGGTGTCACTGGTGTGTATTTGTTCGGTTATAGAGAGCTCCTTGGGTCTTTGAAGGAACTTACATGGGGCAAACACTTTATAGATTTTCTCAAATCGGCATTTTTCGGGATAGGACCCTTGTGCTTGCGACGACTTGTCCTTCCTATCCACATTCGAATCACCCACTTCCATGTCCGTCTCTTCAGGCACCAGCACCACCACTACGTTAAACATGAGCAGCTGGAACTACAAGTATGCAACCAAGGTCCTCCCCTCAGCCTCCTGCATCTACTCCATGCGAGTGGTCAACCAACAGTCTGCTGCCCCCTGCACTTGGGGAGCCACTTATGGTTTCATGGCCAATACCATGTGGGTCAGCGATGGCTGCAGAGCCGACTTCTGTGTCGGCTATTATTCCGCTTAAGCTTTGTCTTCGTATTCCTTGACAAGGTTTGCTGTCATATTCTATTGACAATTGTTGTATAAAAAGTTGATTGGAAACGAATTCTAGTATTCGTGTTTTCATTTTTTTTTTACTTTGCTGGTCTCCCTTTCTAATCACTCAAGCATTGAAAGTATAATTTTTAAAACGCTGTTATTATAAGAAAAGGGTATTATTAAATTTAGTTTTTCAGATTTCGTATTCTAGATTTAGTTCAATATTAGGAATATTGAGTCGATAGTGCCATAAAACACCTATTCAATCGCGTCTTATCCTCGTTTCTCACTATACAAGTACTGCTGTACGTCTGATTTCCAGTACATTTCAAGAGATGTATCCATCTGTGAGAATTAAATGACGCCCACGTATCCAGTTTAGTTTTAGTAACGTTTTAAGCCGCTCGCAACTGCATAAGGTCGTACGAGCGCCAAGGGGAGCATGCCAACAAGTCCAAACCGGGAATCGGGCTCGCTTTGCTCGCCTCTCGAGCCTCAACAGCAGTCTGCTTCAACTATCAAGGCACCCCGGAAATAGTAGTTCACAAGAGTGACAAACATAGAAAAGTAGATAAAAATGACGAGGATGGAGAAAAGAACAAAGGCAGTAACCCCCTCCCCCCCCCCCCCCCCCTCTTTGAGAATGGCCTAACAACTTCAGTCAGTTGCACTGCTGTGGTTGGGGTGGGGTTTACAAGAATCCATGAATGTTCCAATAGGAACAGTAAGGCAAGTAGCCTACTGCACTGAGACATTCTTGTCTCGGACAGGACTATCCTGTCCTGTCATTATACGTGTCAAAACGGATACCGCACTAGGTAAGGACTGATCCGGCGCATAAGGCGGCTTCTTTGTTGACCAAGGCGGGGTTAAAAATGCATTCCAAAATTTTCTTAAATATTGTCCACATTTTGATCAGCGACTCAAAATTAGCAAAAATCACACGATGAACGCAATATAATGCCCGATTACTAACTTAAAATTGTTTGTTTCTCCATTCGGCTCATAAAAAGCGGTGTTAGGTATATCCTTTAATCGCCCAAAGATTGATAAATGGCAAATTCCATACGCATTACAGAATATTGCATCAAATCGGGTTCTCGCGAGCCATTTTGCTTATTCTGAGACGCTGATTCCGAATATGAAATCTGTTTTGAGATGCGATAATCATTTTTAAAGTTTTGTGCCCCAAGTTTATTAATCCTGCGCGGCGGCAAATTTTAAAGTGATTATACGTCACAACGCTCAAGCCCCACGATGTTGACAGCAGGCGCCACCCAGTCTGGGACAGTTGTCCTAATACGGTTGGTGGCTATACTACATTGCCTCTGAAACCACAAACGGTATAACCCCGGGACTGGGGTAGTCCTGCCCCACCGATTTTGTAGCAATTCACAACTGCTCGTGACTAGAATCGGCAAAAATTTTCCTGTCGTAATAGATGCTGTACATTGCACTCTAAGGGCGAAACCAGAGAGCGCAGATTTCGGAGACTGACTCAGTAAGCGACGATAGGTATACAAATTCCCTTATGATTTCCAACTTGCCCCACATAGAGCTGGCAGACTGCAGGTGGCTTTAACTTACTTTAAGCTCGGATTGGCGTTGTCGGTTTTATCGGAATCAAAACAACTACATTCTTACGAAAAACTGGGAAGGGCGTCTCGCTGTCGCTTGCGACTTCAGTGCTTTCTTGTCGTATCTCCATTTTTTTAAACAGTAAAAATGTGACTTCTTCTAAAGCTCACTCTTTGTTGTGAACTGCTTTCACTGTTATTAAAATGGAGAAGCGACAAAAGCACTGAGGTCGCGAACTCATGCCGTCTCCAACTCGGGTTGAGCGGTTTACGTTTTTTTCCACCCGACTGGACAAGGGACCATTTCAGAGCTGGTGCTTCACGGAAGTCAAACTACATTTTTGAAATCAGCGTCGTCATATTAGGGTGGCAACAGAGCAGAATTACAATAATTACATTTTAAACAACAGTTTAGGATTTTTTAAAAATCCCCAAATAACCGAAAAAGTTGCATTGCCAAATTTTATTAACGAAGGATTGAATCCACGGCGCTACAGTGGGCACGGAGCAGACGCAGCGCTGGATAGAGGAGAAAGTTCAGCGTGTGCACTTGCTGCTGAAATAAAATTTCGAGCGGCTGAACTGTTATGGCGTGATTGTTTAGTGCCTGTAGTGTGTAGTCATAGTGAATTGTTATATTTTGACAACAATGGAGTCGGAGGCATTAGATCTAATGCACGTAGTTGAAAAAAGATGTCTTTATGACAAAGCAGATCAAAACTACTGCAACAGGGCCATGACATCGGCCGAATGGAAGAAAGTAGCCAACGAAGTTGGATGCAATGGTAAGAACTTTCTTTCTTTTTTCTGTTTGTCTGTCTGTCTATCCGTCTGTTTGTCTGAACGTATGTACACTGTACAGCATGTATACTTGTTTCAAACTATAGGCCTACTTCAGAGCTTATTAAAAGAGATGCAGTGATAACCCTTTTTAAATGAGAGTGTGGATTGATCAGACGTTATAGCATTTGCTGTTTTGCCATGGTAATGCACCCTGTGGTGACGAGAAATATCCAATGAAAGCATTTCTCACTTCCATTCTACTTTTGGTAGCTCTGCTCCTTATAACTTCTAGTCTGTCAAACGTTGGTAGGCCTGCTCGTGGCTCAACCACGTCATCCTCAATGTGCCGTAGCACCTATCTTCCAGGTTCTTGCATGATAATGAAATTGTGGAGCACTGATGGCCTTGACTGCATCTGTGCCGACTCTGGCTGTTCATCAATTTGGCGCAGGAGTATACGCCACATTTGGGAAATCCTACCAAAAGAGCATTTAACTGAATTCCTCGCACGTGATAGGCGATAATTCAAAAGCTCTTTCTCATGAGTTAATTGTCTTTTTGGAAATGGCTTCATCCAATTTCATCTCAATGGAAATGCATCATCTGCTACGAATGCAAATGGGAGAGTTGTTTCACTGTCTGTATCATGTGGTATGTCCTGCTTGTCTTTTTCCAAATTCAAACGCTCTTTTGCAGACAGGGGTTTCTGGAAATTGGTAGTTTGCTTCTCTATGTAGGGTCCAATTTTGTCTAACAAGAGCTGAAATGTGGAGGGTCTCATCCGGATATATTTCAGGCATTTTTCTTCGTCTGAAAGGATTTCTGTCATCAGGTGATGGTATTCACCATACTGTGTCTCTCTTTTTATTGATTCTCTGTACCCAATATCTACGGCGGGATCGTCTCCTGTTATGGAGCCATGAAAGCATCAACAATTGAAGAACCTCTTTAGCCGTCCTCATTGACTGACACGTTGCCGAATGAATCGACGGAACCGAAAGACGCAGCCGCTGTGTTTGCTAGATAAAAAGTCGGAACAGACGCGGCGAGTAACTTTAAAGTGCATCGCTGCAGCTGCGGCCACTGTGTCTGCGCACTAAGAGACAGAACACAAGGGCGGCCGATTTGTCACATAACTGCTAGGCACCGTAAGTTATAGGAATCCATCTATACAATTTCTGCAAGCGCACAGAGACACGGCCTACTCTCTGCGCCGATCGGCGGGATCGGTGGCGACTTATTTTATAGGAATGAAATATTGATTCTTACTCACCGAAAGCCGCTGCTCAGTGCAAAGAGTGCCCTCTCAATGAGCTGTCACCGGATGTGTGACGTCATAGGGCTGGACTGGGGACTTCTTCAACTGACCACTATCTCAACCACGAAACGTCGTGTACAAAATCTGATTACATATTTGAAATAACCGATCGAAATTCTGCAGGTTCACCGAGCAGAATTTGAGTTTGTGAATACCATTTTTAAAAAATCAATAAATATTTTTTTTAATCCATAGATTGTAGTTATTGAGTTGATAAGTGAGCTCTCTGTGTTGTGTGTGTGTGTGTGTGTGTGTGTGTGTGTGTGTGTGTGTGTGTGTGTGTGTGTGTGTGTGTGTGTGTGTGTGTGTGTGTGTGTGTTTGTGTGTGTGTGTGTGTGTGTGTGTGTGTGTGTGTGTGTGTGTGCGCGCGTGTTCAAGAAAAACAGTTGTTCACAAATTTTATTATTTTAGCGTGAATAATCTTTTTGTTTCTGTTGTATGCAAACGGTCTCCCGCACGGGATAAAAGGGATACATTTTATGCAAATTGAATAAAGACAGACAAGCTGTAGAAAGCAATCGGCTTTGGGGTAAAAAACATGAAAGTAAGTAGCATGTGCACGCCGATTCGTTTCTTCCTTAATTTTGGAAGAAGGCTATCCAAGATTAACAAACTTTTCATCCAAAGAAAACATTTTGGAATTTAAGGCACGAAAGTTGTTCACAAATTGGCACTTAAAGTAAAGCTCAACCTGTCATTCAACTGTGAAAATTAGATCTAGATCTAGTTCAGAGGAACAGTCTATACACGCGCTGAAAATATGTGTCCTTTATGTTCTACGCTCAGAAAGATCGGCGCAGAGAATATGTCACCGATACGCCGAAACTTTTTCGGTGACCTCTCTCTACTCGCCCTAATTCAAAGGTTTCAAACTCCTGACGGGTCTGTCCCGGGACAAACTGTCGTAGTGCGGTACTAGCCTAAATGAACCGCCAACTTGCTCTTTATATCCAAAGTAATGGCTTGTATAGGTTTTTCTTTTTTTAAAACCTTCAACACAATTCGGATCATTTAGGAGGCGTGCTTCCGACCCAGCCAGCCGGTCAACCTGGGGTGGGAGGTATACAACATTCAAAAGGACGGAATTCTCCATGATAATTATTCTCCCTACTCTGCAATTGTGAGACATCGTGGTGAAATCAGATGCTCGTCAAAATAATGAAATCGAAGATGTTGGCATTTTCCCTCCAGTTTGACAATTTGTTTTTCTGATTCGGTTGGGGTTTTTTTTTTTTGTTCAACACTTTTATGTCCATTTAAAATCATTTTTGGATTTACTGAAAAGCATTGGTAAATGTGTCCAAGGACTGTCACGCTTTGAAAGATCACCAAATTTTGGACGGCTATTTTCTCGCTACTTTTACCACTAAAACCAGACAACCCCGGCCTCCTTCAATCCCAAATGTCTTGTCTTTTGTTCCAGATAGGCCAGTATTTCGTTCACCAAAATATGGTCAGATGAACAAGTTTTAAAATGATGCCCGAAAATTGACGGACGCAATGATTCCACCAGGTCGTGACAAATTACTCTCCCTACTCTGTGATCGACCTTAAGTGCTGGTCAAAAGTATACGTGTGCGTGCGTCTTTGTAACGTTTTGTTCCACGTTGTCAGAATTTTGCTGCTTACCAAAACTATTCAAAAGTCCTATAGCTTTTTAAAAAAAAGAGATGCTACCACCATAACGTGGTGGTGACCGAGGTTGTTGTGACAGTGACACTACAGCACGGACACAGGTTATAATAATATGTCATTACGTGGTGGAATCGAGCACCCGTCAATTTTTGGGTATATGGGGTTATGGGTGTTCTTTTAAAACATCTTCATTTAACTTCCTTTTGATGAAAAGATCCATCCATGCTTAATAAGTCTAAAATAAACATTATTGCGATTGAGGGTCAGGGTAATCTGGTTTCACTGGTAAAGTTAGCGAGAAAATGGCCACTGAAGTTTGGTAACTTGCATTGCCTGAGAGTCCTTGGAGAAGGAAAAATTACATTTTTTGTGCCTTTTTCATTCAATAAAATCCACATAAAATTGGATTTTTAAATTGACATAAGTGAGATAAATTTTTTTTAAAAACATAGAAAAAAATTTCCCATCGATCAAAAAATGCCGATTTCTTTGACTTCGTTATTTTGACGAGCGCCTGATTTCGGAACTATGCCCCACATTATACAAATTATGTACATACCCACAAGCAGGCGACCTCCCAATACAGCTGATGGACCCATCATGATCTTCGAACTGCACCAACAAATCGCGGTCTAGAAGATTTCGAGAGTATCGATGCACAGCACTTTTCTGATTCTCCCTGAACATAAATGGAAAAATCAGTTTAGTTTTAAGAGTTTTACACTATTCACAACACAATTGGGTCATAAGAGCAAAATCCTCATCTGTTTGCCGAAAAATGTGGCTGTACTCATTTCACCAATAAATTGTACTCAGAATCTCAAAGTATCAATGACACAGCTCTTTTTCTTTGGTTCTCTTGAATACAAATGGAGGAATAAAAGTTAATTTTAATCATAGTCTCGAGAACATTTCCTTTTGAGACTTACAAAGAGGAACATACGCAAGAACCTTTAGTTCCTTAAAGAAATAAGTGATGAAGGACTCTTTCAATTATTTGAGAATGCCATATAGGACATACGCCAGACTAAAATCTCTGGTGCTTCCATTTTTACAACCCGTTGGGTCCTCTGATCTCTGTTTTTTGTAGTCTCGATGTGTAGGGACACATATCATTGGCTTGGCTTGTACTAACTCAACTACTAGTTTTCTATAATCGTCTATTTCTGAAAGACCTATGTTTACTTATTGGTGATACGGCGATCAATGGAGAGCTGGGATAAATAGCCTCAAATTTGTAGTTAGGTGACTCTTGTGTTGACATGTAAACTGCACAGTATTTTTATAAATCTTTTGCACTGAGCTTTAAGACGGATCTTTTACTTGACTTGCTAACTTTGCTACGTTGATTCCGAATATCACAATATCTTTTAAAATAAGATGGTTGAAGGAAATTTTGTTTCCTCAATTTTATTCCCCGCCTAATGAAAACGTCATGGGAAGCCGGCTGGAGTCGACTGTCACCACCAGCATGTTCATTTCACCTCAACGTGTGTTGAAACGCATTTCACGTTACAAGTTTCAAGCCACCTCCTATGTGCAGGCAGCCATTAAAATCTTTGTTGTCATTCTCTGTCACTCGTGTTTTATGTTTCAGATTTCACATATCTCGTTTCATCACATGTCTCATGTGGGGCCAGCCTCACAATACTCACATAGGGCATGAAGTAAAACGCGTGATGTGAAACATGAAATAGGAAACGTGAAACTAGAAACATCAGGAAATCACATAGCAACGGCGTTTGGCGAAATACGAAACGAAAAACAACATCAATTCAAAAGTAGGCCTACATGATAATTCAGTTGACAAAATGGACTCGTCAGATGAAGACACACTGAAGTTCTTAGTTCTACTGGGAAAAAGCATAAAAAAAGAAAAGGCAGCTTATTGTCTCGAGAGCATTTCCTTTTCAGACATAGATCTACACGAGGAAAATACACAACAACCTTTTGTTCATTATAGGGGGTGATCACAAGTGAATGCGGATCGGGTCGTCGGGTCGCTTTCTGGTGCTTTCAGTGCACACTGCAACCCTGCCACGATTGTACCCGACGACCTGGAAGTCAAAATAGAGAAACCTTTGACCTTCACGCGACTACACAGATGGCTTAAACCGGGTTACGATTGGCTGAACCTTTGACCCTTGAATACATTAAGTAAGCCTACGGTACTCTTGGATTTCCCGGCGCACTCCCTCTCTCTTTCTCTCTCTATCTCTCTCTCTCTCTCTCTCTCTCTCTCTCTCTCTCTCTCTCTCTCTCTCTCTCTCTCTCTCTCTCTCTCTCTCTCCCCATCTCTACGAAGGTACAATAACAAAAAAGTCCCCATTTTGTAACATGTATTACTACTAAATTCTTCTTTTTCTCCTCCTCTTCTCCTTCCTTTTCTTCCTTTTCTTCTTCTCCTCCCCCTCCTGCTTCTCCTACTTCTTCTTTTTCTTCTCCTCCATCTACTCCTCCCATCTACTCCTCCTCATCCTCCTCCTTCTTCTTCTTCGTCTTCTTCTTCTATGAGCGCTCCAAACCCTCTGTCAGAAGTGAGAAGATGGCATAGAGTTATGGAGACCGAAACTGGGATTTCCCAGATTACCGTAAACATACTTAATGTATTCATGGATCAAAGGTTCAGCCAATCGTAGCCCTGTTTACGCCCTCTGTGTAGTCTCATGTTTTAACCTCAATGGCTTCTATATTTACAACCTATTGGGTCCTCTGATCTCTGTTTTTGTAGTCTCGATGTGTAGGGACACATATCATTGGCTTGGCTTGTACTAACTCAACAACTAGTTTTCTATAATCGTCCATTCTGATAGACCTATGCTTACTTCTTGGTGATACGGCGATCAATGGAGAGCTGGGATAGATAGCCCAATTTTTTTTACCCCTTTAAAGCTCAATCCGAGTGGATCCGAGCATTTCTTGTCCACGGAACAACATTTTATCGGGAGAATTTATTCACTATGAAATATAAATAGACTGCACTGAGTGCTCAAGATTCGTTTCCACCAGTTTCCAATGTATCGTCCGTTCACGGGACTAACTAAGCGCAGCGCTTTTGATTTGATCCGTGATTCGACAAAACCTCCTGTCGGGAGGAATTTCAGAGACCCATTTCTAAAATCTAAATTTTGACTACAGATTTGAAATCAGCTTGAAAAATGACACTAGTTCAATACCAAACACACATTTTTTACATTATCTATGTTGTTGATAAATATTATTTACCCAGTAACGCCTGCAATTCTGCCTTCTTCTTTTCAGTTAATAAAGGAGCATCTAAGCTATTGCGTCCATAACAAAAGAAGTAAGACTCTCAGACGCAATTCTGATTATCTAGATCCACATCAAGATCCCGCCTTAAACACAACAGACGTGACCCCTACTACACACTAAATAGAGCTGATCAAGTCACAATCTTCCAACTCCGTTGCGGTCACAACAGATCCAAATACCACATGCACAATAAATTAAAAGTCCGCGATCTGTGAATGTGGACAAGACCAAGTGGATGCCAACCATACCCTTCAGCTTTGCCCGCGCTGTGCCACCCTTCGTACACAGACGTGGTAGAATGTGATTCCCCTTGAGAGAAAGCTCTATGGCAGTCTCCAAGATTTGCAGGACTGCACAGTTTGTGCGCGACATCGGACTGACTGTCTAGCTGCTGTCATCGAGAACGAGGAAGAAGAAGAAGAAGATCCACATCTATGCTAGCCTAGCATGTCAGCATGCGCCACCCCTGACCTACTAGCTACTGTCAACTAGATGACGTAAGCTAATATTATCACTCCAAAATTAAAAAAACCCCCGGAGACTTGGAACCATTCTCGGTCGTGAAATCTCGTCTGAGAAACGCTCGGATCCACTCAGTGGGCACCTTAATGAAAACGTCAAAGGAAGCCGGCGGGAGTCGGCTGTCACCATTAGCGTGGCTTGAGTCCTCGTCAGTGAATTGAGGTAACAAAATTTCCTTCAACATTTTTATTTTGAAAAAATATTGTGATATTCGGAATCAGAGTATCAAAATTAGCTAAGTCTACTCGTAAAAGATCCTGCGAGCGCCGTAAAACCCTCGACTTTAAAAAAGAAATAAACATGTCAACACAAGAGTCACCTAACTATATATTTGAGGCTATCTATCCCAGCTCTCCATTGATGGCCGTATCACCAAGAAAAAACAATAGGTCTTTCAGAATGGACGGCTATAGAAAATTAGTAATTGAGTTAGTGTACATGCCAGCCAAAAACACGAGACCCTACACATCGAGACTACTAAAACAGAGATCGGAGGATCAAATAGGTTGTAGAAATCGAAGCACCAGAGATTTCACCACAATAGAAACTTTGATAAATGTTGGTGTCCAGAAAAGCATCAAGAACAATAATGTAGAGACCTAAGTAACTTTGAATATCTGCACAAGACAAACGTTCTAAAAAAGGTGGAAATAATGCTTAGTGACCATAGTCACCAACTGACATTGGAATTTCAACTATCAACCCGCAGTAAATTATACATTCCCAAAAAAGCAAGAACAGACAGATATAGAAATTCATTCGTACCAACTGCAGTGTGGTTACTGAACACACAGTGCTACAAATGAAACACACACACACACACACACACACACACACACACACACACACACATACAGAGAGAGAGAGAGAGAGAGAGAGAGAGAGAGAGAGAGAGAGAGAGAGAGAGAGAGAGAGAGAGAGAGAGAGAGAGAGAGGGAGAGAGAGAGAGAGAATGTTTTACGGAGCGGGTTGTCCCAGCACGGGAGACATGTATTTACTAATGTCTTGCCTTGTGCGTATGCGTGAGTGCACCTATCCTTTGTAACGTCTACTGCCGTTGTTAACGACCTAGACAAAATTCTCACTGCGAGATGAATAAATATTGTCTTTGTCATTGCCATTGTCATTATTCTTAAGTCTGTCGTATGTCCTATATGACATTCTCATATGACATTCTCAAATAATTGAAAGAGCCTACCATCCCTTTTTTCCTTTTAGGAGCAAAAGTTTCGTTTTATTTTCCTCTTGTGTGTCTCAAAAGGAAATGCCCTCGAGACCATAAGCTGCGCTTTCCTCTTTTTCTGCGCTTTCTCAATAGAACTAAGATCATCAGAGTGTCTTCATCTGGCGAGTCCATTTTGTCAACTGAATTATCATGTAGGCCTTCTAAAAGGCAGCACTAAAATTTCTCGTACCTTCAGTCACCTATAACCTCCACTCGGTGTGTGTACTCACTTGCACACGATACAAAAGGAGCATACTTACTACGACGTTGGTATATTTTGTGAACCCAGTAACAGCGTTTGTTCAGCCTTCGTTTTCTCAACCAATATAAAACCATCCACTGAAATATTTCTTCGTCCATCTTGCATATACAGAGATAGGCCAGCCTCGAAAATATTTTTACATTAATAAATGTAAATGACAATCACGAACACTGATTTAAAAGAGTGAAGATGTCACCCCTTCATGGGGGACGTCGGGGGAGGGGAGAAGCCTTCACTCTGTCGCCGACTTTCCTCTCCCCTTGCTCTCCCCAAAAGGGAAGTGGGGAGGCTTGGGGCAAGCTCCAGAAAGGTGACTCTACTCTGTCTACACCTTAACATACATAGAAATGAAGGAGGAGGGATAAGGACGATAGTTCTTAGAGAGGAAAGAGGGAGCAAACCATACCAGAGCTCCGGCCAACCACTCACGGATAAAGTTGGAATTTAGGTGGTAGCCATAAATGTTACGGGAAAACGAAACGACACCGAGGTGAAATAAACGGTGACAACTTGGGGCTCTGTTATCGCATTTATCTTCGGTAAACGTACCCAAAGATCGTACATAACAAAGGGGATTAATTCTCCTCGTTTTGAGATACTTTTAAAAAATCCGAAAAGTGGGTTCTTAGTGGGTGGTCTAGAGTAGTTTGCTCCTTCTTTCCAATCAAACGTCTATCATCCCTATCTCTTCTTCTGCCTTTTGTGTTTGCTACCGTCTTGTGCAACCTAGTCTTTTTGTTTGTGACTCCCCTGTAACACGTCTAATCTTTGGCACTTACAAACATACTTAACACGCACACATCAATTCGGGCCACACACGAAACAGGCTGTCTTTGAGGCCCGACCCCATGTGGACTGCACATGCCTCAGACAAACCTAGCACAGGCCCAGCGTGGGCAAGCCCTGGCCGAAATAAAACAAATTATCCTCGGCCTGTGCAAGCACTGAACACGACGTAACTGAATTCTGTCCCGGCCTGAAATTTCCATGAGGCCAGTGTGCTGAGTAGAGGTGTTAATGAAAGAAATTGGCAACGTGCTCAAGAGATAATGCTTTGAACTTTGATATATAATAATATACTAAAACACCAATGCCTTTGGGAAATTAATTGCAGAGAAAACAGCAACAGACAGCTCAAAGACAAAGCATAATATGAGGAACTCTTTAGTTACGAGAAAAACTTTGACGCAAATGCCATTATGAATAGTGTCATTACAAATGTGAGGCAGCGCGGTGGAATCGGGCTCTCGTCAAAATAATCAAAGTAACGAAACTTGCATTTTTCCGCAGATTTGTGAATTTTTATAAAATTTTTGTTTTTTTGCTGAACACCTTTCATGCCCATTAAGGAACTTATTTCTGTGTGGATTTTTCTGAAAAACGTTGATTACAGGCGGCACAAAAAATGTAAATTTTCAGTTACCAAGGACTCTTAAAGCTAGGGAAATAACTAATCCTTGGCGGTCATTTTTTCACCAATTTTACCTCTGAAAACAGGTGAACCCCACCTGCTTCTTTCGCAAATATCTCGACTTGTATTCAAGATAAATGGATATTTTTTTCCTCCAAATAAGGACCAGTGAACAAGCTAAACGACAATACCATTAACTCAACATGCCCAAAAATTGACGAGAGCCTGATTCCACCACGCTGCCTCACATTAATAATCCTCGTATGATCTGCGTGTTGCAAGGGAAATTGATGTTGCAGTCAATCTCTCATGTGGCAAAATTGCCTCTCTCATCATGGTATTCTGTTTTCCTATCGAAGGACTCACAATATGCAGCAACTTTGTGAACGTACTCTCGTCCATTCGTAAATAATTCCGGTAGTCTGAAGAATAATCCCCCAATTTACTAAGCAATTTGATGTACGTGTGTTTAGACCTATGAAGAAGCCAGTTTTTGGACTAGACCCTTCTTTGCTTCATTTTCAAATATAGACCTATTGCTAGACATGTGGTTGGTCTCTTCGATGGTATGTACTAGGTTTGCACAGTCCTGGCCTGTGCCGTATGTGTGCACCTGGCCCGGGTCGCCTCAGCGGGCCTCGGGACAAAACTCAAGGCGGCACTAGGGCGGCCTCGCAGATCCCAAGGACGGCCTGTGTCGCGTGTGGCCTGCATTACCCGACAAATGCAAACAAATACTCAACCAACACAAAAACACCTACATACCAAATATACAAACACACATAATAAACATACAGCCACATACATATGCAAACTCGTACACATCAAACACACATCTGTTGAGGGTTTCCAAACATTATGTTGCTATCTTTCTACCCTTGCATGATTTGATGACAAGATAAAACTCTATTGATCCTTGAGGGAAATTGTTGCTGGATATACCAGAATATCAACATACAGAATCAGCATCAACACAGAATGTTAATGTTCTCATTACATCCAAGGCAAATGACAGGGGGGCTCTCGTGGTCTCAAGTTTGTCGTGTTCGCCTCTCATTCAATAGCCCCCGGCTTCGAAACCTGACAGCGATGGAAAAATATCTTTTCTAAAAATGTTTCTCATTTAACCTCCTTTCCTGCTCTCTAACCATGTTCTTTCTTCTGCTTTCGTCTCAACTTTCTCCCCCCCCCCCCCCTTTATTTGGCCCCCCTCCTCTGGGCTCCTGTCGCTGTCGGCAGCCTGTCTACATAACTGCTACTCATTGGCTCCTTACTGCTGTCCTTCGGCCACAGCCCCGATCTTAGAGTAGGTAAGAGCTAACACCTGGCCTTCTCAATAAGGGCAAAATATTTCGGAGGTCATGTGTTCAAATTGCGCATGTTAAGGATGCCTTGGTTGTCCAAAATCAATAAGAGTAGGGAACAGGACGTAAAAACCTGGCTTGGAACCAAAACAAGTTAGACGTATTAAATGGTAGGAGGTAAAGTGTTTTATTGCAGAAAGGTCCCAGCAGAAACATCTATCTACTCGAAGAAGAAGAAGAAGAAGAAGAAGAAGAAGAAGAAGAAGAAGAAGAAGAAGAAGAAGAAGAAGAAGAAGAAGAAGAAGAAGAA